AGTGGGCTGAAAAACTAGGCTTATACTCGAGTATATACAGTATTCCAGAAGTTTAAAAGGTACAATAAGTGTTTTTGGCTTGTTGACCTGATCATAATAATAAACCAAATAGAGATGCAGTTTATGTAGGAGAAGTAAACTAGGTAACAGGCTATAAGCATATGCTTATATAAAGGCAAACAGGGAAAGAAGGACAGTCATAAACATAAAATAACGATTAAAAACATTTCTCAGCTTTTGTCACTAATGGCTTTTCTTATTTTTGAGAAATTGGAGCTTGCAAATGATGATCTCAGTTTTCCATTACTTTTTCCTTTTAGAAAGCTGCACCATCTTAACTTTTTCCTCACATTTTATGCACTGCAAATGAATCATTTTCAATGGATAACCACCACCATGTCTGGATTAGCTGACTCATGGATGCCTGTTATTGCTTCTAGCTCCTTTTCAACTTTTCTTAGATCTAGCTGGCAGTATATTATTCCATCAAAGTTCCCATTAGCCCTGGTAGGAAAATGAAACATTCCGTTTTGCTGCCATATGCTTATAAAAGAACTATGGTAGTTTTATTTCTAAACAATAGAATTTTCCGTAACTAAACTGTTTCTGGAGAGGAAAAAAAACATACTGTACTCTTGTCAGCCATTATTACATGGACAATGTCAGTCAATCTGGAGGAACACATACTGTAGTATGCAATTTATAAATAACAGTACATTTGGTTCCTTGAGCAAACAAAACTACTTGGCTAGTCCACAGAACTATCCACAATTGCTGCCTAAATAAGGTCAGGATCTCTTGGTTAAAATATACCTAGTTAATTAAGAAGTTTTTGAAGTTATGTATTGAGAGCTGTTCACATTTAATTTTTCTGCTTCTTTGGCCTAGACATGGCATGTTGTCCTGTTATTTGAATCTGCTGAAAACTATGCAGAGTTAAGGAATGCTGATTTTTCTGCATTATCTTGACTATAAATTTTAAGAGTATCCATGGATCTGAGCCATAGTTTATATAAAAAGGAATTGCATCAGTTTATTAAAGTTGAGCCAGAGGTTTTTAATTGTACACTAACCTGGATGTCACACAAGAATGTAGTTTTTTTCTTTTAAGATGAAGTATTTTTATTTCATTCAGGTACTTCTATCCAGTTCACAAATAAATATTATTCAAGTGCTTAATTATGTAAAATGTTAAGCAGATGCAGGGGTCATTAATTGAACAGAGCAAAACAGCTGCCTGCCAAAAGGAGGCCAGACAGCTACACTATGCTGGAGAAATGAACCTCAGATCTTCAGGCTGCAAGCTTCATTTCTCCAGCCCAGTGCAGGAGTTATTGTTCCCTCTGTGCATGGAAGGGAACTCCTATGACGGGCTGCAGGCATTCAGCTTGGATTCTAAAGATATGAGCTTGATTTCTGTTCCCCCCCCCAAACCCCGGGGAGGGGAAATCATTCATCAGGTGGTAGCAGCTGTGGTAGCAGCTGTTTGCAACCTGCCCTGCCGGCTTCCCCATTGACTTTCTGAGGAAGCCAGCAGAGAAGATTGCAAATGGAAATCATATGAGCCAAACACCCAGCTCATAATCCTGTGACTGCAGGGGATGGGCGCGAATGACATTTTACGAGAGCCAGAAGTGTACAACAGGCCACAAAGCATCCTTTTTAAGTTATTGTAACTTCAAACAGTCATTAAACAAGCATTTCAGTGGTGGGTTGCAGGCGGTACACCCCGGTATAGGTGTACCGGAGCTTGCCCGGAGCACCGGATACCGTTCCGGTACGGTGCTCCAGAGGGCCTGCCCGAGCTCCTTACCTGTGCTTTAAACCTTTGGCGCTTCTGTGCATGGCTCGTACGGCGCCTGCGCGATGCTCCGCCAAACAGCTGGAGCGTTGCAGAGGCTTGCGGAAGCATCACAGGAAAGCACGACGCATGCACGTGCTGCGTGTGTCCATCTGGAACCCACCACTGAAGCATTTATAAGTCAAGGACTACCTGTATACAGAATTAGGCCAACAGCTCTGCTGTTTTTCTGCTAACATGCCCTTATCTCTGCCTCTCAATTGGAGAAGCTTGGAAATAGTTGTTGCTAATAAGTTTAGTATAAGGATGGAAAACCTATGTCTCTTCAGATATTGTTGAACTTCAGCTTCCAGCACCCTTGAACATTAGGCAATCCAGGACTGATAACAGTATTCCCTCCTTTGTTTTGAGGCTGGTCATCTGAACCTGAGGTGCATGCATCCTGTCTTTGACTAATCAAGTGATAAGTGATCTTCAGCTGTTAAACTTTTATGCCTTCATTCTCAAGATAGGTGCGAACAGAATCCGTGTACATTCTGTTTTGCTATATTAAGGTATAAATTATCCAAATTGGCACTTCCAAGCCACCCTGATTGGAGTGCAGGAGAGACATCTTCTATGGTCCATATCTATGGACATCTTCTATGGTCATTGGAGTGCAGGAGAGACATCTTCTATGGTCATATTTCACATTAAATCATTCGGTTGATTTACTATATTCACTAGAACTATTCAATGCTTAAGAGTTTTATTCCAAAATGCTTTGGAGCAGATCAAAGTGCAGACAAGTCCTTAAAGCTACTCTTTTTTTGGGATTATGCAGTTGTCATTACAATCCTAGGTAGTTGCTTTAAGTAATTGCATGTAGGTGCTAAATTTGCATCCCAATGTGTTTCACAGCATTTCTTGGAGTGAATTTGAAGCTTTGCATAGATCATCTGTTTGTATAACAGTGAGTCTGCATTACTACCATTTCCTCTTTTTCTGGTTATTTTTTGAGAGAAAGAGGAAGACTTGTGGTCAGGACTAATGTCATCTCCTAATGTCATCTCAGTTGTGATCAAAATGCTGCTTTTCTTAGTTGTCCTGCCACCCTCCAAAAATTATCTTTTCCCTTTTTTATTTGCTCCTCCTGTAATTTTTAACACATTTATTAACTCCTTTTTCTACATAGGATGGGCCATACAGTCTATATGATGGAACAGACTGTGAGATTTGAAAGAAACTAAATGAATGCTGTAACGGCTTTTAGAGTTCCTTCAAGAACTTATCTTGAGTTCACACAACATTGCATTCTTTAATTCTACATTTCACCAATGGCTGAAATTGAATATTTGCACTTTATTTTCTTGAACAGGCACATAGAGTTGAATAGCCATCATGATTACAAAAACTACAGAGAGACTATATTGGGTCGACCATTGGTGTTTATCATTAACGTCAGAACAAAATATAATTCTTCAAAAGGTACGTACCATAAGGCTATTGAAAAATGTACAGACGGACCGCCTTGCTTATAAAAAGATAATTGGATCCTTTAAAATAACATGATTGAGTTTGGATAAAAGAGCAGGTTGTGATGTCTCTGTGAAACTGGTAAGATTAGATTGCAATGGTATGAAATATTTATTTTTATAACAACATGACTCTTGCTGTAATAGAATTACGTTTTAAATTGCTAACTTCCCAAGGAGCGTGTTGCTTATGAAAGTCCTTTAACACAGTGTTTTTCAACCACTGTGCCGTGGCACACTAGTGTGCC